CTGTTCCTCACTCTTTGTATCTATCTTTTAATCTTTTTTTTTTTTTTTTTTACTTTTTTCATTCCATCTTTCCTCCATATGTGTCTCAGTTGTTTCTTTTCTTCAAATGGTCTATCTGGGAGCTAGTTTTTCTTAGTGATCAGTTTTACTTTGCTGACGTGGCTCTTATGATTAACATTTTTCTTACTCATTATATAGGAAAATTGTTTCCTAGAGAGTTCTACAGGATTCCATAACCAAAGACAATTAGAGAAACACAAAAACATAAACAGATAGACTTAGGGGAAATTAGGGTTTTGAAGGCTCTCTGGCACTTGGTTCCTGGGTATCAGCAAGCTAGCATAGTTCCTTGAGTGCACACAGGGAAGATTACTATTGATAACATGTAAAAATGAACAATCTATATTAATAGTACAATCAGAGCCACAACAGGTTGTGGGGGAAACATATTTCCTTATTCTCCTGAGACAGAAGACTGGCGCCCAGAGAAAATGCAAACATTAAGTTCACCTTTCCTAGCCCTCAAGTTAAACAGCACCTCAGTTTCAGCTGCTATCTTTCTAAAACTAAGGAAAAAGCCTGCACTCCAGTTTCTAAACCCTCTCCAGAATTCTCTTTTAAGCCTTCTGCATCCAGCTCTCAGTGCTCTCAGTGCAGTCAGGCTGGAATTCCAACCTCTTAATCCTTTACCCCCTGCAGCTCAACTTCAGAGTTCCATACAGAAAAGTACTTCCTTCCCCCAATTGATACACTACAAGAAAACCTGATTTCTCCTGCTTCTGTTATCTTTGGTAACTTCATTTGATGTGGTATTCAGTTTTGTTTTTCCTTCCCACTACTTTTGAATATTTTAATTCACTGCCAGTATAAGATTTGAACTACTTTTGATAAAAAAAAAACAAAAAAAAACAATGCAGTGCTGAGGTTTTCTCTATTAGAAATATCACTTGTTGCAAAATCTCACAGATGTTTGCTCAGGAATTGATTTTGATCTCTGAGGAATTTCACTATTAACTAACACAAGTGGAAATATATCCTTAGCGATCTACTGTTGAAATGACTCAGGAATATGTGCCACATTTGAGCATTTGGTCATATTTATCATTTTTGTCATCTTGAGTGTTCCTTGAGCCTGCATAAATTTGCCTCCACCTTCCATGAAGGCCTATTAAAATGAAAATCGTGTCAAGGAACATTTTATTCCCCTCCTACCTATATTTTGTATTGTAGAATGTAGGGAAACTTTACAAAATTCCATGGTAGCAGTTCTTTTTTATGTAGGAAGGAAATACCAGGGTATCTATGACCACATTTCAATATTTAGTATTTAAACCAAACATGGTTAACCTAGGATATTTTTTTTTCTTTTTTTTGGGGGGGGGTCCAGTCGTGGGGTCTGAACTCTGGGCCTGGGCACTGGCCCTCAGCTCTTCAGCTCAAGGCTAGTACTCTACCACTTGAGCCACAGCGCCACTTCCGGCTTTTTCTCTTTGCTTATGTGGTGCTGAGGAATCGAACCCAGGGCCTCATGCATGCAAGGCAAGCGCTCTACCACTGAGCCACCTTCCCAGCCCAACCTAGGATAGTTTTATGTGGGAACTAAATCAAATCCTATAAGGGCCCAAAAAATCATTAGCTTCTTTCTGAAGTACTGCTACTGTTTTTTAACATTCATGTGGACACTGTTTTCATAGATCTGGTCATGTTCTATGTTCTGTATTCCATGTGATATCCTGAATGTGTGCTGCTTCCTTATTATAGTACTTGTTAATAGTAGATCTAAATAGGATTTATGATGATGCAGTATATGTAAATGCAGGAAAAATATTTGTTTAATTCATGGTTACCCTGATATGTACTAAAATTTTATCAAAAAATGATAATATAATTTTTAACATACCTCTTTAGACTTATTGTTGTCATGCCAGATTATTGTCTCCTTAGAATTTTTCTTTTTGGGGGGTCTGGTCCTGGGGCTGAACTCTGGGCCTGGGCGCTGTCCCTCAGCTCTTCAGCTCAAGGCTATTGATCTACCACCTGTGCCATAGTGCCACTTCTGGCTCTTTTCTTTTTGCTTATGTGGTACTGAGGAGTAGAACCCAGGGCCTCATGCATGCAAGGCAAGTGCTCTACCACTGAGCCACCTTACCAGCCGTCCGTAGAATTTTTACCTTGTCTCTGTTGGTAGCAGCAGAAATGTGTTTGCATGCATTTGGGAAACCGTAATTTTTATTGGTCTTGGGCTTCAATTCTGGGCCTGGCTGTTGTCAATCAGCTCTTCAGGTCAAGGTGAGTGCTCTACCACTTGAGTTACAGTGCAACTTTCAGTTTTCTGGTAGTTTATTGGAGATAAGTGTCTCATGGACTTTCCTGCCTGGACTGGCCTTGAACCATGATCCTCAGACCTCAGCCTCCTGAGTAGGTTGGATTGAACACATAAGCCACCAGTGCCCTACAAATCTGTGTATTTTAATGACCAGGTTTATATATTGTCAATTATTTCTAATTTGCTATTTAATTCTCTCAGTGAATAGATAACACAGCAAGCTGTGAACATTTTATGTAAGACAAAAGCATACCTGTAGGGGTTGGGAAGGTGGCTTAGTGGTAGATCGCTAGCCTTGCATGCATGAGGCCCTGGGTTCGATTCCTCAGCACCACATAAGCAAAAAGAAAAAAGCCTGAAGTGGTGCTGTGGCTCAAGTGGTAGAGTGCTAGCCTTGAGCTGAAGAGCTAAGGGACAGTGCCCAGGCCCAGAGTTCAGGCCCCATGACCGGACACCCCCCCCCCCCCCCAAAAAAAAAAGCATACCTGCAGCATAATGAAATACCAGATTGGAGTTCTCATAACCCAGGTCTGATTTCTTGATGGATATGTGCCATTACAGAATTTGATATCATTTGATGATGTGGCTGTGGACTTCACCTGGAAGGAGGGGCAGGATCTGGATCCTGGTCAGAGGACCCTTCATAGAGATGTGATGCTGGAGACCTATAGCAACCTCATGTCCTTGGGTGAGCAAAGGTTATTTTTACATAGAAGATCAAGTGCTTTTTATTTTACTAGACATTAGACTGTTTATGTTATTTAGGGATAAGATTCCAGTCCATGGGAAGTATCATTTCTTTCTAAGGGAAACTTCAACTTGATTATATGTAACTCAAGAGCTAATTTTATTCTCACTCTTTAAGAAAGCAAATCAGTAGTTGGACAAAAGTCAACTATGTTCCACTAATACAAGACTGACTTCCCAGACTTGGAATGATTATTATAGGTGGATCTACAGTCTATATACTACTGATTATGATGTGGAAATCAGTAGTTGAAAGTTTGTGTTTGTAAGCCAAACCCGATATAGGGTTTAGTGCTTCAACTTCGAATTCTAGATACTCTGGAGGCTGAAATCTGAAGATTTTGGTTTGAAGCCAGCAACTGTAGAAAAATGACCATGAGACTCTTATCTTCAATTAACCATTCAAATACTAGAAATGTAGCTAACATTCAAACTAGTAGAATGCTAGCTTTGAGAAAAAGAGCTGAGTTCAAGCCACACAATTGGCACAATAAACCCAAAGCTGGGGAAACTCCACAATTGAGCTGTTAAGAATTGAGAAACCATGGGCTGGGAAGGTGGCTCCGTGGTAGAGTGCTTGCCTTGCATGCTTGAGGCCCTATGTTCAATTTCTCAGCAGCACATAAGCAGAAAAAAAAAAACAGGAAGTGACGGTGTGGCTCAAGTGTTAGAGTGCTAGCCTTGAGCTGAAGATCTGAGGGACAGTACCCAGGCCCAGAGTACAGGCCGTACAACCGTCCCCCCCACCCCCAAAAAGAAATAACAATTGAGAAATAAGATTTAGTAGCAACCTTGGGAACAGGATGTCTGCGACCTTACATTAATGATGACCCAGCAAGAGCAATAGTTCTCCACTATTTCTTAATCACAGGGCTCTGTGTTCCTAAACCTAAATTGATTGTCAAGCTGGAGCAAGTGCAGAACCATGGATAAGAGAAGGCTCAGAAGAGAATTTCACAGGTGGGTTAAAGCATCTTGAATGGTAATGATGGGTCCAGAGCCCAGTTGGTCTGTTTATCTTGAGCTGTACAGAGAAATAGTATTCCTAGTGCCCCTGAGTCATGTGTGGCAGAGAACTAGGTGATCCTTTGTCTCAAGGAATTGTCAATCCAGAATTCACGTGGAGACAAACTGAATTTGGTGTACCAGTGTAGTTAATGTTAGCAATTCTCTTTGTCTGTAGAGAAGTCATTCTGAAAGAGAAAAACACAATGAGAAATGTAGAAAAGGTGATCTCATTTTCCTTTAAACCTGTATGATGCAGGTAGGAGGAAAAGAGGAGTATGCTAGGGCTGCTATCCTGTGATCAGGACAATTTCTTATCAGTGGTGCTGGGCATAGAGGGAGATTCAGAATTGAAGCATTAAGAGGATGTAGATGAATAATGTAAGTACATATTTCCTGGAGAAAAATAGAAAAATCTGAAAAACCAAAAACATTGTTTTCTATTGTAAAATATCAGTACTACTTTCTTAATTACTACATTGTGTAGAAAAGTATATATTCTGCATAAAACAATGCTTTGATATTTGAAAATCTAGTAACAGAATGTGAGGAAATATCTTTACATTAAGGAATTTATGGATCTCATTTATGTTTTTGTCTATTTTCTATTATTCATTTTAGATGTCCCAGAAATGGAGGATGTGATTAGCACCTGTCAGGAAAATCACAATGAATATCTATCTGAAGTAGCAATCATGAATAGTAACCCAGGGGAGGAAAAAGTGAGACTTATAAGAAGTTTTAATTTGAGCTCAAAACAGAAGTCAGAACTGATTAAGAATAATGGGAAGTCCTTAGGGATGAGGACAGAAAAGCTCCATGGGTGTCAGAATATGGGTGATTTCAGTGAGCCTGGTAAGATATGTGCTGCATATAGTCCTCATGTTTCTTCTGTAGTTGAAGAATATAAACAATGTGAAAGGTCTTTCACCAAGAAGACACACCTTATTCTCCCTCAGAGAACACAAACAGGAGAGAAACCTTATGAATGTAACATGTGTGAAAAGATTTTCACCTGTAAGGCATATCTTACTGTCCACCAGAGAATCCACACAGGAGATAAGCCATATGAATGTAACGTGTGTGGAAAGTCTTTCACTCAGAATTCACACCTTACTGTCCACCAGAGAAGACACATAGGAGATAAACCTTTTGAATGTAACATGTGTGAAATGTCTTTCACCACGAAGTCAAACCTTACTATCCACCAGAGAAGACACACAGGAGATAAACCTTTCAAATGTAACATGTGTGAAATGTCTTTCACCACGAAGTCAAACCTTACTATCCACCAGAGGACACACACAGGAGAGAAACCTTATGAATGTAACGTTTGTGGAAAGTCTTTCACCCAAAAGCTACACCTTACTGGCCACCAGAGAACACACACAGGAGAGAGACCTTATGAATGTAACGTGTGTGGAAAGTCTTTCACCTGGAAGATACACCTTACTGTCCACCAGAGAACACACACAAGAGAGAAACCTTATGAATGTAACATATGTGGAAAGTCTTACTCTTGGAAGGCAGCCCTTACTGGCCACCAGAGAACACACATAGGACATAAACCTTATGAGTGTAACATGTGTGGAAAGTCTTTCACCTGGAAGTCAAACTTCAATGTCCACCAGAGAACACACACAGAAGACAAACCTTATCAATGTAACACGTGTGGAAAGTCTTTTACCCAGAAGGCATACCTTATTGTCCACCAGAGAACACACACAGGAGAGAGAAACCTTATGAATGTAACTTGTGTGGAAAGTCTTTCACCCAGAAACGATACTTTACTGCCCATCAAAGAACACACACAGGAGAGAAACTTCATGAATGTAACTTGTGTGGAAAGTCTTTTACCTGGAAGTCATCGCTCACTGCCCATCAGAGAACACACACAAGAGAGAAACCTTATGAATGTAACATGTGTGGAAAGTGTTTCACCTGGAAGTCATACCTTACTGTCCATCAGAAAACACACAGGAAAAAAACCTTATGAATGTCATATGTGTGGAAAGTATTTCAGCCAGAAGCCAGACCTTACTATCCACCAGAGAGCACACACAGGAGAGAAATTTTGTGAATGTAACCTATGTGGAACGTCTTTCATCCAGAACGTACACCTTTCTGTCCATCAGAAAAAAACCACCAGAGAGAAATGCTATGTATGTAGCAGGCATGGAAATTCTTTCACCTGGAAGGCACAACTTCACATCCATCACAGAACACAAGGAGAGAAACCTTATGAATGCAACCAGTGTGGAAAGACCTGGAGGTCACAGCTTAACACACATAAGTTGATTCACACAAATGAAATAACTTAGGATTGTTCCAAATGGGAAAAGTCTTTCACGGTAATAAAATTGAAATTGCAACACAGAACCCACACGGCATAGAAACCTTATGGTATAACAGATGTTGAGTCCTCCAACTAGAAGACACAGCTCAGGGTTCATCACAACACACACACACACACACACACACACACACACACACACACACACACACACACAAACACAAAGAGGAGAGAAATCGTATGTAGGAAAAATAAATGGGAAGGTTTTCAAGAAAAAGTCCTAACTCAGTTTGCATCAGAGAACAGACAGGCGAGAAAATAAAAATGTAACAATTGTGGAAAGTCCTTTACCAAGTAGTCATGGATCCAAGTTCATAGGACACACACAGCGGAGTAATCTTAAAAATATTACAAATGTGGAAAGCCTTTGATCTGAAAGGAATCGCTCAGTGTTCATCAGAGAACTGACTCACATAGGAGAAAAGAAAGTAGTGCACAGAACAAATGATTTTCAATCAGAATTGAATCCTCAGTATATGTGAGAGCATACACAGGACAGAAGTTATGAGTATCGAAAACATTTTGCCAGAAGTCACATCTGTACAGGTATCAGAGACCTGGACACATGACAGAATCTCTGTAAATATAAACATGAGAGGAAGTCTTTCAACCAGAAGCCAACCTTCAGCAAGTATTAGAACATTCACCCAAGAAAGAAGCCCAACCTAGGAAAATCTTTGTCAGAAAACCTCTGTAAATTATACAGAGAAATCCTTCATGGCAGAGTTAAGCTAGGTGTGATGGGAAACCATTCTTCACTCTTCAGCTTTCTAAGCCGACATTTCTCATCCTTTCATTGTGTTGAGTGTGGATGATGTCTTTCAATATTATTCAAAGCATGTAGAAACAATCAGTCTTGACAAGTAATTCAGAGATTGAAGTTATTAATTTGTGTCTTTTATACAAGGAATAGTTTGTTAGGGTAATTTGATAAACTCTTAGAAAAATGTGCTCTGGGCATTTGGGACTGGATTCAGATCATTTTCAACATGGTTAGGGGAACAATAGATGGGTAAAGACTGTTATGATAGGAGGCAAGAACATGAGAACAACCAGTTTTCTATTGCTCCCTTAAGTCTCCCTCTGAATGTGTGATCCATGTCTTATAGTACAAATGACTTACTTATTCCAGTTCAGTTTTGAATGGAAGATCTGATGGAAGATATTAGTCCTTATTGCAGTACATCCATAGTAGTAAAATCTTTCTCAGAGCGGGTAACAATGCTTGATTGGAAATGTATTCATGACCTTCCTCATAATTGTATAATCAATCTATACAGTATCTTTATAATAAAAATATATTTTTTCAAAAATGTGGTTGATAAAGACAAGAGTCTCTGCATTTTGTGGGGGAGAACCCCAAAATGTCTTCAGTGCTTGCTTTTTTCTTTAATTAATTACTGGTGATGAACAACTTGTGATTGATTCACTCTTAGTCCATTTAGTTGTTCTGCTAAGTGAGCTATGATAAAACACCAGTGTGGACGATGTGATGAGCCTGCATTTTCTCAATGTTCTAGAGGCTGATTACAAATTTTCTTGGCCTTACTTTGAAATACAATATGATGTTCCATATTTTGTTTGTGCAATGAGTATATATCCATGCCATGAGTATATATCCAAAACCCAGAACACATATACATCTGAAGTGGGTATCATTTTTTTTTTTTTTGGTCTGGTTGTGGGGCCTGAACTCTGGGCCTAGGCACTGTCCCTCAGCTCTTCAGCTCAAGGCTAGCCCTCTACCACTTGAGCAACAGTGCCACTTCCGGCTTTTTGTTGTTGTTGTTGTTTATGTGGTGCTGAGGAATCGAACCCAGGGTCTCATGCATGCAAGGCAAGTGCTCTACCACTGAGCCATCTACCCAGCCCCGAACACATATTTCTTTGTTATGAGAAGAAGGCTTTCATTTGCTATCTCATATAGGACCAAGATAGATAAGACATTCGGAAAAATAAGACATTTTGCAATCACTCACAAAAATTTAAGTTAACAAAAAGTAAAACTATCTGCCACTTGAGCTATAGCATCACTTCTAGGCCGAGAGGAAGGAAGGAAGGAAAGAAGGAGGGAAGTGAGAGAGGGAAAGAGGAAGGGAAGGAAGGAAGAAGAAGGAAGAAACAAACTTCAAAAGAAGAATGTTTAGTATTTGGTGAATGTGAGAATTATTCTTTCAGAGGTGGGGCTCAAGAAAAATGGCTTTTACAAAAAGCAAATTCTTGAACTGTTTACAAAATGATAAAGAGGATGTAACATTTTATAAATTGATTTAATAATACAGTAATATTAAGAAAGGAGGTCAGGTGTGGCTGGTGCCCTTTTGGCCACATGGTGGATGGTGGGGTCTGTTTTCATTCAGGGGGAAGGAAATGCCCCATCCATCACTTGCCTCCCAAATGATGGGTGTGGCTGGATCCCTGGAAGCAGGCATGGACATTTGGCTGATATGTTACTCAATCTGTTAGTTCAGTTTGTGGAACTGGGAATTTCCTGTAGCCCTGCCTCCTGCTTAAACCCTATTTAGGCTGCAGCAACAGTGGCACCAGATGCCATGCCACATGTCTCTGTGATCATGTCCTGTGTCCTGTCTCCTGGCTTGTCTCTGGTCATCAGTGTCCCAATTCAGCACTCTCTTGATGCTCATTGGTTTCTTGGTGTTGCTTTTATTCTTTTTTTCCTTTCTGTCCTGTTTCCAAGCTGTCCAAGTGTATTTGTGGACTGCAAGTCTTTGTTACAACAGGCTGCTTGCAGACTGCTAACTGTGTCATAGACTCCAGTATTCCATCTTCCAAAATGTGGCTTCCAACAAATATACTGTCTTCTTTTACAGAAACACAAAGGTTGACTTAACATTAGAATTTCTAGAGCCAAGATAGATGCCCCTGTATAGTTATGTAATAAAAGATATCCTGGCGGCATTTTGAAAAAATGTCTGTTGCATCAGAAAGTGCTTAATAAGTAAATCAAGACCAAGAGTCCAGAACCTATATAAGCCAGTCATCTAGATATGTCCAGAGCTGTTTGGTTACAAGAAAAGCTCTACTGGGGCTGGGAAGGTGGCTCAGTGGTAGAGCGCTTGCCTTGCATGCATGAGGCCCTGGGTTCGATTCCTCAGCACCACATAAACAAAGAAAAAAAAGCCAGAAGTGGCGCTGTGGCTCAAGTGGTAGAGCACTAGCCTTGAGCTGAAGAGCTGAGGGACAGTGCCCAGGCCCAGAGTTCAGGCCCCACAACTGGACCCACAAAAAAAAAAAAAAAGAAAAGCTCTACTTTCACACTTTCATGAAGGAATGTATTTGTGCCAATATGAGGTGTTGAACTCAGGAACTGAGTTGAAGCCAGTCAGAACTGGCTTCAAAGGGGATTCTCTCATCTTGGCCTCCATAAAAGCTAGGAATCAAAGCATGATCCCTGTGGGCTGTTCTGAAGAAATCTCTGTCTGGGAACAAGAGGTTTCATTCAGTGCTTCACCTCCGGCTTCCTGTCCCTTCAACAATTTCAGTATTTATTTTAATTGTTCAAAGAGAATCCTTAGATCCTGCCTATGATTCCATTTACGAGATAAGGACAGTGGACTTCACATTGCCAGATTTAGCTAGGTTCCAAGCTTAACCCCTTCCCTCACACTGTTCACCCTTCTCCTTATCTACAGAGGCCTAGTAAAAAAAAAATAGAGGGATTGGGAGGCCCTTGGCCTTCCTACTTATCACACACACACACACACACACACATACACACACACACACACCCTGGCCATTTGGATATAGCTCATTCTATTTTTCCAAATTGGATGCTTTCTGATAAAGGATGGTTCATGGACTGGAGTCCTTCTAGCTAGGCCTGTCATATAGCTGTAATTAAAAGGCATGAACCAACATACCACATTCATTCGAAGTATCCCTGATGATACCATTTTATTATTGATTTTATTATTTTTGTTATTATAATTTGGCCAACACTATTGCTTGAGCTCAAACTTTAAGGGACTTACTGCTCACTGAATTGGTAAAGCACCCTTTCCTCCTTTTAATTTAAAAACAGCAATTAAAAATGAGCAATTACACTCCCTGATGTGTGGAATCTTAGCTACTCAGGAAGCTGAAATTAGAAAGGTAGTATTTGTAGGCCATCCCAAGCAAAAGCTTCATGAAAATGGTATCTTAGCCAATAAAAGATGGATCTGCTCATATGTGCCTATCTTGTTTGCTACTTGTGATATGTAATTATAAAAATTAGTGTGTAGAAAGGCCCAGACAAGGAAGCAAAACCCTAAGGTGCAAAATCAGTGATACAAAAGGGCATCTGGTATAGAAGGGAAAGGAAGCCTCACAAATTTTTGC